GCTGGTTCCCCCGCTGGGTGGAACGTCGGGAACATTTTTTTTTTTGTTTTACTGTAATGATTTTATTGCTTTGCCCACTCTCTGCAGGGAACGGGAGCGAGACGACAACACGTCGAGGTGCCCGCAATGAACGATGCACGCTGCGTAGGCATGAGACCCAATTGGGACGGAATAAATATGTCTTTTTTTTTCTTTTAGTTGTTTTTATATATTGATTTTTGGGGGCTTGCGGGGTGAGTGGGCGGGTGCTGTGAATTATTATTGTTTTGCCGGAAACTGTCCGAATTGGAAATAATTTTTTTTCAATTTGTTGCCGCGAAGGTGGTGCAAAGGGCGGAGTTGTTGAGGCGCACGTTTACGGGGAGGCCGTCCAACAGTGATGACTGCCACACAGACATTTTGCTTGGGTGCGGGGCAACGTCCCAGCGGCGTGTTCATTTGATTTCAGTCCGGCATCTGCGCCAGACTTGGCGTCCCACGCGGAGGGGGCGTGTTCGTCGTGGAAGGGGGGAGAATTCCATTTGTTTGATTTTGATTGGGGCCACCGCGCGGAGTTTGCCGCGTTGCGGGGTTGAATGATTTCCTTCACGGTGTTGCCGGGCCCGGAGTCTCCTCGGGGGCTTCTTACGGCGTCCACGGCAGCCCTCCGTGCGGGATGGGCGGCACACGAGGAGCGAGAGTCGGCGCTGCGCCACCCGCACAATTGCGCCGGGGCCCAGCTGAACGGCCAACGAATTCAGCTGCAGTGCGCCGCCAGCTGCCCCGTATTCATGAGGTGAGCAGCCAACAACGGCGGAGGCCAATGAACGGAGAGCCCAGCCCAGCGAGAGGGAGGCGCAGGTGCGGAGTCTGCCAGACCACAGGGGTCTTGTCGCAGCCCACGCCACCGCCAGCCTCTTCCTACAGAGGCCTCCAGCAGGCCACAACTGCGGCCGATTGATGTGTGTTTTTGTTTTTCTGCAGGAGGGACCGGGTTGATGATAGTGGTGGTGGTGATGCAGACACCTGCAATTCAGGAAGGGTTGCAGGAGACGACGAAGGAAACCAGGCCGCAGGCGGCGACAACGGGAATCTGTTTAGAATTGCGGATTTCCGAAGCTTTGATGGTGCCATGCAGTGCCCGATGAGTTTGTCGCCCGACCGGCTGCTGGACGCGTTCGGAGTTGTTGCTCCCACACCAGCCACTCCGGGTGTTGTTGGCTTAATGGCGTGGGATAATGTTGCCTCTATCTTCTGGCGTTGCCTTTCTAAGGGGATGCTGATGCCTTGACCAGCCTTTCTCCGTGTGCCCTTCCCACCCTCCTCTTTCTCTCTCTCGATCTCTCTGCCCCTTGCTAGACTGTGTGTGTGTGCTGCGGTGACAAGAGTGAGGATGGCTGGCCGTGTGCTGTTGGTGTGCGCCCTCTGCGTGGTGTGCTGCGCCGGCGGCGGTGTCGGTGCGTGGGGCTCGGGATACTGCACGGAGAGTGACTTGGAAGGACTTGCGGGTCGTCGCGGAGGACATGACGGAGGCGGAGGTTGAGGGAAAGTACTGCAGCCGCAAGCTGGAGTTTGTGAAGGGGCTGCGGGCGAGTCTGCAGGAGGAGGGGGGACTGTCTCCGGTACGGGTCAGGAAGGGACGAGCTCCACTGGGGCAACTGAGGGCACACAGGGGAATGTGCAAACCTCACAAGAAAAGGAAT